AGAATGTCCTGAGCTGACAGGCTGAAGGAAAAGAACCTCTGAAGTCTGAAATAGACAAGACTGTGAGGGAACCTGTTACAAGTATTCAAAACCCTTGAAAGCTCTGAAAGTCAGCCCAGCGGCCATGAAACCTTGTGGCACAAGTGGAAACAATGTGGGAATGAATTTAAAACCTAGAACAGGGGGGACTTTTTTACTCCAATGAAACTGGTTCCCATCTGGAACAAGATATCCAGGCATGATGTTCAAGCCAATACCCTGGCTTCTTTCAAGAGACCGTCGGATGAAATCTTGGATCAATTATTTGCAAATGACCAAACGGGTAATGGCCTCCTCTCATTCAGAGCAGTTGTTCTGTTCTTATTAAATTGCGGGTCACCAGCAAGATTCAGTTTCCAATTCTCATCTGAATCAAAGACAAGAAGTGCACTTGGTTTACGAAATATTTTAGAAATAGTTTTATTATGCAAAAATCAACTGCTTTTTAAGATGTCCAGTTGTACTTCCACCAAAGATCCTTGACAGTAGGCTATAGGTTACCATTTATCATGTATTATACTGTAAAAAATAAATGTTATGATTTATGGAGTTCAGTGCAAAGTGCATTACTAATGTAACCAGTTTAGTAACTAATTCATTTTCAATAAGACCTAAGGGAAAATGATATTGATCAAAGCTAGACTATGCCAGAAGCATTAAAGATTTATAAACAGACTAGCCAAAAACAGAACAACTCCTAGCCTTATGTCCTGGCGGTTTTGCTCTTAATGCAACTAATTAAATGTACAACACCACAAAACATTTAATCTTTTTAAAGATTAGATAAGTGTACTAATGCAGTTATAGGCAGTGGTACATACCAAAGTTACCAAAACCAGCCCCTTCCAAACCTCCTGTTCCTAATGTTGCTGGACTTAACCCAATCACTTTTACAGTCAAAACAAATGAGAGCTCAAAGAATTAATAGCAGACTGTTTTTGAACATGGAACAGTGAGGGTTGAATATCTGTTACATGGCAAGCTCCATGTTCCCTTTAGTCTGAGCAGGCAGGGAAGAGCTCCAGATTCCATGTCATGCCTCACGCCTTTAGATCTCAACATCAGCTGCTTCAACATGGCATCACGAAGAAAACGGCTGCAGCCTGTCCAAATGTGGAAACTGACTCACGAAGTAAGATTTGTACTTCTATGGTGCTTATAACTGGATATCACTGACCCAAGTTGGACAGGACGACCAGCTAAATAGCCAACTCATGCTGACATTTTTAAAAAAAGAGTGAGGCTTTTTAAGAGCCGCCAAACTTTAAACAAATCCATGTGTTGAGATATTAGCCAAATGTGTGGTAACGTATCTGTGCCCTGTTTGAAAATCTCTTTAAGGCTCTCTGACCGATTCTTCTGAGTCATGGTTTAAACCTCAATGAAATGGGAACGCCTGCACATACTGTATTGTTAAAACACTGCCCCCCATCCAGATGCACTATTTCAAAACATCCACCATCTAAATGCAAAACTGACTCAAACAATATACATCATCACTATATGTAACAAATTGAGTTAGCACTGTGGAAAGTACTAATGGGATATTGCAAAACACCAATTTCTCAAAGAACTCCAGTGCCTGGGTGATTCACAGAGAGCAATGTGCATATTCACAGACTGGTTATTTTATGAAATGCTTCAGGGCATGTTATATAAGAAAGGCATTCCCATGCAATGCTTTCTGAAGATCAATGAGCCATCTAACTGTTCAAACATATTTGGTGGTAACGCAAAATATTTCGTAAATGCTGGAAGAATGCGAGGGTGGAGTTTTCTGGGGGGGGGGGATGCATTCGTGTGAACTTGTACATATAATAAATTGTTAATGAAAGAGGCGCAGAATAAGAACAGATTAATTATGTTCCCTTTATACTGAATGGATCAAGTTAGGACATAGCAATCATAAATAATATAGTACCCTGACCTTATGAAGAGGATACAAAACAAACTACAAACATAGCCTGCATTGCATTCATCATCTATGAATACACAACTGCATTCTGCATTCCTTATATACAATTGCAGATATACAAAAAAATTAAACCCATATACAAACAGCCAGATAAAACAAAATCTACAAACAAAACAGGTTCTACAGACAGAAAATGAATGTTGAGTAGTGCCTGCAGTAAAACTGGGATTATTTTTTTATCGGTACTGTTTTTTTCACAGGAGGTGAGAAATTTAAATGTAGGACTGAGTCAGACATATATGGTATAGAAAAATCTAACTGTAAGCAGACCATAATTATGACATAGCTTAGCATATGATTCAGTGACTCACAAACAAAATGACAAAGCAGCCATATTCAGCCTGCCAGGTCAAATGGTTTCATTAGCTATAATCCCCCAGCACTGACAGATCCAAATGACTCTCTCGGAAAACAATGGTGAGTGGGGAAAAGCTGAGGCTGACATGGTACATAGGAACCTGTCTGGATTTTTCCAGACCCTGCTTTGTAGGCTAATATTACATCTAATATTAGCTTCTGAAGCACACAAGCCCAGTTTGCAAACAGTGCAATGCCCTGGCTATTTGAGTCATTCCACCTCTGCTAAATTAAAACAAAAGCACTTCCTCTCGTGCTCCAATGTGGTTTCTGGGTGTTGACTAGATGCTAAACTGAAGAAATGGTACATCTGTTCCTACCGCAGTCATCATGGGATAAACACTGATCCTGGAAGATCCTGATGGCAGGAAAACACCATCCCCCTAGCAGTCCAAGAATCCTATTGTACTTCTAGAGGGCCTCTGTTACTCTATGTAATTCCATGCTTCAGCCTCAAAGAGCCTGACTCTCCTCCATGTGATTTCAAATATGTTGCAATATAACCGACTTTGTTCTTTTACCATTCTGCATGAGTCAGTTAGCCTAGTCCTGGCGGCCCTGTATATCTCAAACAAATTGATTATTTTCTTAAATAGCAAGGCCTACTAATTAACAAGATTTCCACTCACTGGCTATATACAGTAGATCCAGCTATAAAATCTGTAGGACTATGATTGCCAAGGATAAAAGTTACATATAATTGCCATCCAGGACAATTATCTTAAAGAAAACGACAAGAACTTAAAGATGATGAGATATGTAATGAATTATTAATGAATTAAGAAGCAGAACTCAATTTAAAAATTAAGCTCATGCTAAATTTTGCTCATGCAAAAATCAGTAAAAATAATCCAATGGTCCTTGCTTTTGACATAAATGAGAAGAAAAGGATTTCTTCTAAGCTGCCTACCTTAGACAACATTCCTTTCACACGATCTATCTCACTGTTGGCCTTCAAAAGCTCCTGTTTCAGTTCAGTGCAAGACAATTCTAACCGTTCCTTCTCCGAATGTGCTGCCTTCAGAAGGTGCTGTAACTCGGTGTTATCGCTGGCACTCTGCATTGCCTTCAGCTCAGCCACTTTCTGCCTCTCAATATCCATCTGTACCTTCAGCCGTCCATTTTCCACCTTCAGTGCCTCCATACTGGAATTACATTCCTCTAGCGTCCTAGTGATTTTACTGCCGACCTCCTGTTCCTTCTCTATGCGGTTCTGAAGGAGATCTTTCTCCTCCTTCAGGGTCCTGATGAGTCCCTGTGCCTCCTGGTGCTCCTTCTCCAGAGATCTCAGGCTGCTTGTCAGCTGCTGCTGAATGTCCACCAGCTTTTCTCGTTCAAATCTGGAGCTCTCTACCAGCTCTGCATACCTCTGCTCCAGTTCACTGATCCTGGCGGCTCTGGCCTCGCTTTCTTCACTTTTGGATTGCTCCTGCAGTCGCGCCAACAGGCTCTCGTTCTTCTGGACCAGGTTCTCCACACGCTCCCTCTGCTGCTGTAGTGAGGTCTGCAGCAGGCCCTTCTCCTCTGCCAGCCTCTCATTTTCAGCTGTCAGCTCCTGCACAACCTGGTGCTGGTCGGCGAGCTCCTGCAGAGTGGCCTGCAGCTCCTCCGCAGTGCTGTGGTGACTCTCTTCCATCTTCTGGATCTGCTCTGTCAAGCATTCCACAGACAGGTCCCTGGCCTGTGGTGAATTGGGACCCGTTGAGCCTTTGGACTTCCCGGTGCTGTTGCCTATAGAGTCTGACCTAGAGGGGATTTTCTCAAACTCCGATGAATCTGGTGATGGAGAACCCTTGGTTATATCACTGCTGGAAGAGGATGAATTCTTTAAAGTGCTGCCATTGATGGGAGTCCTGGAGGTGTCCAACACAATCCCATTCACTGGGTTTTTAGCAGGGCTGGCTAAAGATGTAGGAGGACTGGCATTTGAGTTGTTGCTACTGGAGAGAGAAGAGTGCTCCATTATGAAGCACTTTTCCTTTAGAGTCTGATTCTCTTCCCTAAGTGCTGCAAGCTCGCGCTGAAATGTCCTGTTTTTCTCACGCATGGTTTTGACCAGGGACTGTATCTCGGCAGGCTGGGCCACGAGACTCTCTAGGTCGAGGTCTGTGCCCTCAGGTGTCACCACATCCAGCATCCCTCTGTCTCTGCAGCGCTTCAGCTCAGTGCGCAGTTTACTGATTTCAAATTCCTTCGCCTTGGCTTCGGCAAGCAGCTCTTTGACCTGACACTCCAGGATTGCTTTGTCATTTGTTTCGCCGTCTGATTTTGCCTTAACAGGAGGGCGGGAGTGCTTGGCAAGTGCTGAAAGGCTGGAAGTGCTAGCACTAGGCACCACTTTCTTAGTGCTCGCGGTCCGGAGCTGGTCTCTCAGTGAAAGTCTGTCTCTTGATATCGTGGTGGGAATCTCCCTGGGGGCAGGAATCCCAGACTTTTTGGCTGAAGGAACTCCTGAAAAATGCAGCACAAACATTCATGTCAGTTTCTGTACTTCCCCATCTTATTCCTACTAATGGAAGAACAATGGAAGAAAAGCATTTAACAATTTTTTCCAGCGTTTTCCAGGATGTTGCTGCATCATGCACAACCTTCTCATAGTCATTCCTGGCATACAGTCTCTACTTTGCAAGAGCTGAGCTACAGCTCTCGGAAAAATAGAGAAAATAGAGAGGAAAAATAAATGTGTTACTGTTTCGTGCAATCTGTACATACTGAAAAGCAGATGAGAAAGAATCTTTAGCAAGTGTCTGCAAAATGGAAACCCAAACCTTAATAGGACAGCATTATTGCTAGTATACTCAAGAGATGGTAAAAGGTAAAGCCGACTAAAGCAGAATAGTTTGATGCCCTGGGAGATATTGATGGTCAAATACAAGAGATTCCATTTTAATATGATCATTTTCATCTTTTATATAGCACAGGAACAACAGTTTTTTTTTTCTGCAGGCAAAATACAGACATGAGAACTGGCATTTGAATGGCATTAGTGTGGGCACAACAATATTTGCTTTCCAGGACATTCTAAATTCAATCCATTTGCATAGTCCCACATAAACAGTGGCTTGTCAAAGGTTTTTTTTCTTTATTGCACTACAATAACCAGTATATTGACACAAACACAAGGTCTTATTACCAAGATAACAATAGCTAGGCACACAAAATGGTTGAGTACAAAGAGCCATCAGTCATAGACAAAGGCACCACTGTGTTTTTGTACACAATCAAAATGCAGTACAAAGCCAGCACTCCCTGGCCAGAGAGATAGTGGGGATCCCGGCCCACTCTCCATGATCAGTGCTAGTCACATACAGTCTGATTTAAAATGGAAATCTCTCCCATAGGCACTTTAAACAACTCCCATTGACAGACACTCTGTGGTGACTATCTCTTCATTGTACCGGACACAGGCTGATACATATGGCAAACCTGCACACATTCTCTAAGGGCAGAAGTTTCAGAACTTTGTGAGATGTGAAACTTATACTATCAGGGGTTTCAGATTACAAATACCTAAATCAGAAGTGTTAAAGTTATGCAGATTTTAAAAATTGACATCTTCATGGTCTTGTGGGAATAATTTATCTTTTTTAAAACTTGTTTTTTATCCTGTTGGAAAGGAGTTCTCTAGCACTGAGAAGAAAACATCATTAGAGCTGAATGACTCAACCAGGATAGGTACTTTTTAAATACACTACACAAACAGCACTTTCTAAGAGAGACCAGACAAAAAAACCCACAAGTCTAATTCTACATGTCACAGCCTTTGGAGCAGGCAATTTCCTGATCTTTTAATTAATAAGGAAGCTGCCTAGCCTTAAAATGAACCAGGGCAGACCTGTAATTTAAATTCCAATTAATCAACTTTAAATTGCTTGCTTATCATCCAAGTATTTCAACTTGGCAGAAAGTCTCTGCAAAAGTAATGGACTGCCTTCTGCTGTGCCAAGAACCCGGATCTAGACATTCCCAGTCCCACTCAACTGTTGATCTTCTATTGATCCGTCACTGACAAGTGCCGAGGTCATATATCTACTGAGATCACACCACAGACACTGGGTTTTAATCACACGCATGCTTCCAATGTACAGCTTACACAAAAGCAATCCAAAACTTTAATGAAAAGAATATGAACACTTACTGCATGTGTTTTATCTATGTTATAGATGTGTGGTGTTTAAATGTAGAAAACTGCATATTTTACAATTCTTGGAAGTGTTCAGATCTAAAATTATATCTTATTTCTTATAATCTTATTTTGAAAATCAAGAACTGTGAATGTAACTCCCGAGTTGGGAGTTAACGTTGACAACATTTATACAGTATCCGCTCATCTGGCAGAAAGCTTTTCATCTTGCCTAGGATAACCTTTCACTTCCTATAGTGCGCAAAATCCAATTAATGATGTTAAATTTACTGGCATGAGCCAAGCAGAGTTGATGCTAAATATGGTACGTTATGACAAACTTACAGCATGAGATCAAACAAAGGGCACCTTTTCCTTTATTATGCATTAACACTGTCAAAAAACGGAGAAGGATATTCTGGGGAAGAGGCAACTACTGTGGATGCTAAAAGCCAAGTTTCCTCTTTCCCAGTTTAGCGGTTTCTTAAAATATGTAGCAAAATCTAAAGTGAAAAGCATATCAAAATCAAACTAAAATCAATGCAACCAATAAAAAAACAAATAAATCCAGTCCAATACTGATGCCACGTGCTTTTAGAGGCTAGTTCATTTTTCACAATTTTCAGGCAATGTATAAAACTGGAAGAAATAGGCACTTAGTGACTTCCCAGGAAAAAGCGACATTTTATTCTCTCCATGCAGTTGAGCAGGATATTTTGTTACAATTACTTCTTGCCATTAGAGTGACTAATTCCTGGAACACGCCCTTGATGTTACCCCTGATGCATTTATTTGCAGTTAACAAAATAAAACTCACATGTTTAACACCCCAGCTTTGAAACAATCATTTTTTGCCATTACATCACTCTTTAACATTATCGCATTAATACACAAACAATGAGTCACTGTGTCTGTCTCTGACAGCAAATGAGTGGTCTGACATTCAAGACAGTTCAGCTGGACAGCACCTTAATGTGCAGTTACTCAGTAGCCATGGAATGTGGAGACAGGAATGGAGAGATAAAGGGTGTCTTCTAGTTGTACACTAAACAGACAAGGGTTTGACACATAGGAGACTGCTATTGCAAGCTAATTTAAGAAGATATGTGAGTTCTTAGCCTTAGTAGATGATACAGAAGAAGCCTCTCCATGTATGAGCTTTTTAGTCTTGCAAGACCTTTAAGATCTAGGTTCATGCTTTAATGATTGAATTAACTCACAGTATGTACTGTAATCATCTACTGTAGGTACTGTACATCTTAAAAATGGCCTTCAGATCTGCTGTCTAAAAGCATGAGTGCAGTTTGGATCTTCAATAACTGAAAGTCTTCCCTTTATTCTGACAGCAATAGATTTAATCTGATTTAAATTCTGTACAGGTCTGAGCAAATATTTAAACCACAGGCTTCACTAAATTTGTGGAAATGTAAGGTCTGAAGCAGTAAATGATTTGCACTGTAGCAAACCTGCTGTTTATGAATGCTTACTGTCAAAACCTAGCTATGAGTATGGGAAAGCGGACATTTTCTAAGACCATATCAAGCATTATAATTTACAGCAAATCTAAAGCATTAGCAATACAACTCATGCAATGGTACAAAAATGGGGGTTATATACAACATAATGTGCTCATAGCAAAGCTGAATATTATAGAAGAGACACTATTTTCTTAATGAGGTGTAAAGGAAAAAGACAGAAATCCCATTCATTGTATTATATCTAACCCACCAGCTTGTAGCTTAAGGCTAATAAATCTAATAACATATTCCCAACTTAATGGTGGGTAAAAGATAAACGATTTATCAGCAAATACATAAGATCTATTTAATCTTTGGACAGAAATTCCCTACTTCCCTGACATATAGGATTTCTATTTTAAGTCGCTTCTTACAACTTAACTAAGTGATTGTACTGTTGCCTGTCTTAATTTAATGACATCCTGTCTTTTTTTTAAACTCACACTGGAGTTTCTGTTCCAGTCCAAACCTCCCCATTCATTACTTTCTGTGAAGAGGCAACATTGGAAAACTATCAATTAGATTCCTTAAAGCCTGAGGGTTGACTGCTTTCCAACGGTATTTGTATAAATAAAATCAATGCCGTGCCTATAAAAACTACATCCTGCAATACAAAATACAGCCTTCATTTTTAAGAGTTCAAAAGCTAGTTTAAAGAAAGGCATGGGTGTTTGTTTTTGCCCCAGATAAAACCACAGTAAAAAGGTGTAGAAAAATGTAAACATACAGTAAAACGAGCCGCAGCAAACTTAATTCTTTCTTTAGAATTAACAAAGACTTTTCACATGAAAATGGCAAAGAAGGCTGGATTTATCAAGTAGGGGGGTTAAGACATTTTGTTTGAGATTTGTTTAATTCAGCAGCTGCAAATGCCTATTTGTTAAAGCCAACTATTTGACGCTAACAAAACACTTTGATATGTAACTATCTGCAAATATCGGTTTCATAAATAATGCCATCCAAGCAGCGAGAAATAATTTGAAAGGAATGTGTGCCAGAATCCACTACATCCAGTATGGTAAAAGGCTATAAAGACATTCTGTTTTAACAATCTGATCTCTCTATGGTGCAGTAAACAGTTTTATTATGTTGTACACATCACAACTTCAGAATACTAAGCCAAGACAAACAATATGGTACAAATGACAAGGACAAACATATTCAAGTAACTGAGCCATGTTTTCGTTTAGAATGTGGGGGGAGAAATAGAAAGCACTGCAGCTTGGTGTCAGAGAACAGCAGCTGAAACAGCAGGTTCCTGACCATTCCTGGCTTCACTCTGTACTGTGACACGACATCACTTACGATCAGGGATAACCTTTGCACTGCCAAGACATTTCCTTTGCCACAGCTAAACTGGAGTGTGTATTGGGACAGGATGCCAGGAAATGTAATGTTTTCCAGTCAGGTGGACAGTATACGAACAGACAATACCAGGCTTTCTATTTAACTACCACTCTGCCTTGCAGTTTCCTGTATCCACCCACTGACTGGGATGTAACACAAGAGCTTATCTGTGGACAGACGGAACAACTGCAGTTCGACATGCCTGCAGAGTTACTGTGGAATTTCCATTAGTGTCACAGTGGTGGAACACAGCTAAAGGATCCGCCTCAGCATCCTAAATTAGGAAAGTTTAAACAGCACTGAAAGTGACAGTCTCAAACATTTCAATGTCCAATGAAGTACACTGAAAAACAGTGCTCTGCAAAGATGTAACATCCATTTTGGTGCTGATAACCACCCAGAGCCAAAAAGAAAAATGCACTTGGCTATGAAGATTCCCTAATGCGGATCAGAAAAAAACATTT